TGCAGAGCCCGCGCTCCGTGCACTCCGCCTGGCACCCCATCAAGTGACGCGCGGGTCGAGGAGTCGGCTCCCGCCACGCCGCTCGGACTGGGGGACGGCGCGCTTCGGGAGAGAGAGACGGTTGCTGCGCGGAGGCGGGGCAAAGAGGACTGTCGCCTAGTGAAATGAATTTTTTGCCGGGAGGGAAGTGTTGTTTCTTGGCGACTTGATAGAGTGGCGGCAAAGGGAAATGCCTTGAACCACCCCAGGGGGTAAACCATTCCTCTACGGCGGCTCAGTTGTGAGGGACAGTCGATTTGTGGTACCCTAGAGGAGTAGTATTCTTTGCTGATGGGAAGTGTTGTTTCTTGGACATTTGATCGAGTGGTGTCGAGGAGTAAAGTTCACTTGTGGCAGCCTACGGGGATTGAATTTGTACCGGGGAGGGGGGGAAATGATGCTTAGGGATTTAGGAGAGTGGTGGCAAAGGGTTCTGTCGGGCTCAATCGAACAAGGGGGTAAGATATCCTTCTCAGGACAGGGTTGATCTTTGACGGCGCAGCTGTACAGTCGATGTGTGGCATCCCAGCGCACAAGGGAATTGTTTCTCGGTTGCTCAGAGAGACGGGGGGACGAAGAGGACATTCGGCTTGGGGCACCCCTGGGGGTAGCATTCTTCGGGGTAGGGAAGTGTTGTTCCTTGGCGACTTCTGGGAGTGGCGGCAAGGTGTGCTGCGCGCTTGAACCACCCAAAGGGATAAAACGTCCTTCTCGAGGGAGGGTTGTTCTTCGGTTGCTGAGCTGTAAGGGAAACATTGTTTGTTGCATCCGAGAGAGACCGTATTCTTTGCGGCAGGAAGTGTTCTCGGCTGCTAGTGGAAAGGGGACGAAGAGAAAACTCCTTGAGGTTGTACTCTTCGCGGGAGGGAAGTGTTATTTCTTGGAGACATGGGGAAGTGGCGGCGAGGGGTACAGTCGGCTTCTGGCAGCCCACTCTGCGTATGAAAGCATTGCTTCCCGGCTGTTTGGCGGAGACGGGACGAAGAGTGCAGTCGGCTTGTGGCACACCAGGGGTATCGAATTTTTATCAGGAGGGAAGTGTTGTTTCTTGGCGACTTGTAGAGTGGCGGAGAGTGAGCAAATCGGCTTGAACCAATCCAGAGGAGTAAAACATCTTTCTCGGGAGAGAGTTGTTCTTAGGCGGCTAAGCGGTGAGGGTAGGAGGCTACATTCGGCTTATTCGCATTTTTTTCGGGAGAGAAGTGTTTTCGACTGCTTTGCGGAAAAGAGGAGACGAGTAGATTGCTTGAGGTGCTCAAGAGGGTTGTATTCTTTGCGGGAGGGAAGTGTTGTTTCTTGGCGACTTAAGGGAGAGGCGGGATGAGGAATTGTCGGCATTAACCACTGCAGGGGGATAGTGTTGAAGGAAGGCAACTGTTGTTTCTCGGTGGCGTAGGTAATTTGAGCGCGGGGCAATCTATCAGATTGTACCACCTCCAGATATGAGAAATGGCAATGGTTTCCTATTCTTCACGGGAAGGTAGTGTTGTTTTCTTGGTGAGTTAGCCGATAGACGAGGGGTTCTACTCTCTTGGACCAGCCCAAGTTGGTCGAATTATGGGAGGGAGCTGTTGTTTCGGGGCGGCTTAGCTGAGAGGGCAAGAAGCACTGTCGACTTATATCACCTGGAGGGGAGGATCACACATTATTCCAGCGAAGAGCTGAACTGTTGGTTTGCCGTTGCTTAGTTGAGAGAGCAAATTTAACAATGTTATATTGTACTACTCTTCAATGTAAGGAAGCACATACTGCACTTGTGGCCTAATTCACAAAGTACGAGGGCGTTTTGGGGTCACAGAATGGGTTCCTAGCTTATCTCCTCAACCTCACTCCTCAGATGGACAAAGATACAACTTCAGGCTGACAACTACA